AATTAACCATCCCAAATCGCAGCGCATCCACGTCCAAATGAAAATCGTCCGTCTATCCGACATGCGCTCGCGTCAATGGTATCCGACGCCCAAAACGCCTCCATTTCTCTCCGCGACGGAAAAACTGGGTTTCCACTGGAAGGTCTAAACCTGGAAATTAATTGTCCAAATCCCTAAACACATCTGTTTTCGGTTTCTCCTTCTGCCGTTTAGTTTTGCACTTGATAACTGCTGAGACTGATAGATGTTGCGGCCAAAACCGTACGGCTCGAAAAGCTGTCGCTATAGTTCGGCCCCATTTAGTCCTGATGGCCGCAGTTTATTACTGGCGGTACGGTAATTAAAGCAGTAATCGGTCGGGTAAACGCCTGAGTCCCGGATCTGATCATTTTTGCGCGATTGATTCCTATGCCGCGCCTCAGAATCTTGGCGTTGCTTTTTCTAACGGCAAAATTCGACGTAATCCGATTAGGACGTGACTAAAGGTTTAACTTGGGGAGAGTGCGCGAAAAATAAAGGGGATAATGAAATGAAAGGGAGGAAGATTGAGATAAGTAACAAATTAAGGTTGAGATTAAGCCCGTTAATCTATTGTGTACACGGGGTTGGGCAGGCGGAGTTGGAGAGGGATGAGCAGAAGAATTGTTAATTTAAAAACTGGGGCAGTAGCAGTTGCTGCGGTTTTTAATCGGGATGACGCCATATTAATAATGAAAAGTGATCTGTTTGACAACACATACTTGACTACGACCAGTCCGGATCGACTTTTTGTTTTTACCGGTTTTTGATCGGGATGACGCCATATTAATAATGAAAAGTGATCTGTTTGACAACACATACTTGACTACGACCAGTTCGGATCGACTTTTTGTTTTTAACTTTTTCTATGACGCGCAACAAACTAAAAACTTCTCGAGCTCGAGAATACAAGAAGATTGAGTTAATGAAAACAACGTTTAACAATCGCATAGGAGCTCTTGAAACTGCACTTGCTAATTCAACTGAGAGATTCTATCTGAGACATTAGAGCAGCCTAAACTCGCCGGCACTATCATTATCTCAAAACTGAAGATAAGCAATCGGGTACGGGACAACATATAACTATTGCATCTTCAAATGTTTCGCTGTTTCGTTGCTGACCGTAAGGGTCCTAGAGTTCGACCGCTGAAGGTCCTAGTTGGAAATCCAGAACTGGTTAAAAAAATTCTAAAACACAGAAACAAGCTTCTTACTGGACCGTTCAAGAATGTTGAGATACTGGATGACTAAACGCCCTCTCAGCGTCACTTTTTGGACCAGAAAAAGAAAGAACCAACGGACGGATACGAGACGGGTGAAAAGCTGTTAACAATCAAATACATTAAAGGTGTGCGCCTAATCGTTAACATCTCAGTTCCAAAAAAGTGAGCGTTGTTTCCTTGCCTATTATTTACACAAATCTTTGCTGATTGTATGCCAAATTTGATCTTCTTATTGCTTATCTGAGTTCCGTTAAACCTGCCTGCATTCGAATAACCGAAACCTGGTTAAAGGCTGATTGCACCATTTCTATTACAGGCTACACAATTTATCGTTCCGATGGGTTAGATGGTGTACGTTATTCGTCATTTACTAGTCCTGAATTTATTTTTTCACTTGCATGTGTATACAGTGATAATTCTAGCTTCAGCTCTTACAATCCATGAAGAATTTTGTCACAAGTTTTTCTAACCCTTTTATTACTGGGGATTTTAACTTCCCATTTATTCAAGCGTCTATGGAGTAAACTTATTGTAGAACACATACGCTTCCGAGAGAGCGATGCTCCATTAACCACTACTTACCTCAGACCCCGACTTAGTTGATAAATCAGAGTTGGATTGCTCAGTTAGCAAATCTGATCATGTTGTTTTTAATTTTCGTATTCGAGCCTTGTGTTACCCTAAGCAAGTTAATAATCATAAAATGATATGCAGAATAAATTTTATAATAGTTAAATAAGAACAAACGTTGTTCAGATTTTCACAGAAATATATTTAAATGGCAGCTGTTTCGGCAACACCGTGCCTTTATTAAATCTGAACAACGTTTGTTCTTATTTAACTATTTTAATTTATTTTTCATCAAGTAAAAGCCACTTCAGTACAATAAATTTTATAAGGTTAACAAATCATGCATGGAACTGTGTTGATAATAAAGTTAATGACAATTCTGAAAAGCCTTGGCTTTAACTTAAACATAAGAGAACTCTGTAGTGTATATTTAAAGCCACTGTCTGTGCTGACCATTATACTGCGCAGAGTTTCTAATAGTTTATCCCCGGGGATTAGAGAAGCGAAGTCTTCCTTCGAAGATAACCTTACTTTATGGGCCCAAAGCGTTCTATTCCTACATCAGACAGCAAGTCTCGTTTAGGGTATCGTCAGTCATCAGAAATAGTTTGGGAGAGGTCGGCTATGACCAGGACTTTATTTCGAACGGATTTGCATCATATTTTGCCGGGGTGTTATGAGAATCTAAATTTCTTAGGAGACATCTACTGTGATCAAGAGGAGGTGAAAAAATTCTTTCTGAGCTAAAACATTGCACCATAGCTTTGTTCCTTGCAGGTCACTTATATCAAACACACTGACCAGCTTTTCATAAATCGACGCTTATTATTCAAACTTGAAAATGTTGGAGTGCGAGGCAAGCTGTCGGCATGTACCTGCTTATATATCGTTTGAGGGGGGCGGAGCTAAATGAGGGGCATAAACCCCCTCTCGGATGACTGATTCCCACATTGGTGACAGATAAAGACCTGAGTCGCGGTTAAGATTGTTAGGTGGTTTATAGATTTCTATAGACTCTAGGATTTTTCGTTGGTAGAAGAATTGATTACATACAAGAATTTTAGAATAAAATTTTATGTTCAGTTTCGTGTTTTCGGCAACAGCTGATGAGTTTATTTTTCTTAGTCGCAAGGCTCTTTCGTGTTCTTTGAGCCTAGTTGATCTTTTTCTTCAGGTCTCTCCAAAGTACGCTTTGCCGCATATGCATGGAATGCTGTAAACTCCTGACATCTCAAATGGAATCTTGTCTATGACGGACCGAAGATGTTGAGAGATTCTTGGACAAGTGGTAAATCTGGATTTGACGATATACTTCTTTAGAACTTTTGGTATGTGGTCAGTGATGCTTTGAATGCAAGGAAGGACCACAGTGGCAAGTGTAGGATTGCTTTCGGCCTCATTGCTATTGGAAGGTTGTGGTGAAGTGTATTTTTTGATGGAACGCTTAATATCTTTAATGCGGAAATTATTAGAGAGAAGAGCAGAAGTAAGTTGCCAGTAAGAAGCCAACAGGATGATTGGCGAAACGTCAGCAAGTTCGACTCAGTAAAAACCGACTAAGGAGGAATCCAGAAGTTTTGTAAAAAGTATGATACCAAATTATTTCAAAATTCCCTAACACATGCGAATGTATTGTAGCGAGACGTAAATACTATCTGTAGGTGGTGCTCGACTTGGCTATTACCGCTAAATGCTCAGAAGTGCTCAGAAGTATTTTATGCTCGTAAGAACAAACCCATACATAAGAGGTTCTCCTCTGCATATTTTTTTTGTTATAATAATTCACAAAGGACGTCCGAATAAAATTTGGAATAGAAAAGTGTGCTTTTATACTTGCGAAAAATGTCCAGCATTGATTCGTCATGAAAACTTGCTTGTCCAGCAAATTCAGGCTATTAACTCATGGGCTCTACCTCTGGTGATACACCCTCATTTGGTACACATTTGCAGGCTTGAGATGGGAAAATAAGGACCAAGATGGCGAAACGCCCGGCATACTTTATTTGCCTAGGAATAAAGGTGGAAGAGGCTTAGGAAACCGGGAAATGAAATACGAGATCCAAGTAAGAAAATTATATACCTACTTCACTAACTCCACGGCGAAGCTCCACAGAGCGATAGTGGTAGCTGACAACAACTGCTCTCAGTGAACCCAACTTCTGGAACTTACTCTGAAATTTATAAAAAAAATCAAACGTTAAATGATAATAATAATAAATAATAATATAATATATAATAATAATAATAAAAAAATAATAATAATAATAAAAATAATAATGATAATAATAATAAAAAAATAAATAAATAAAATAAAGCAAGCTGAACTGTCGGTATCGAAGACAATTACAGGTCTTGCCCAAAAAGCTGTAATTCTATCAACGTGCAGCAGAGTTAGCTTAGTCTAGACTAAGTCTAGTCCCGTTTTACACGAAACGCACCGACGCAAGTTGGGGAAAAAAATCTCCTTCAGCTCGGTTATTTTTAATACCGACTACTGCTAAAATGTCTGCAGTCAAACTGCTTAATGCTTAATACTAAAAAGCCTAGAGAATTTTATTCTAGGTTTTAGAATTTTGGGTGGTTTATTTATATAATTTACATAGTATTTAAAGCAAATTTATTGCGTTGTCCATCTCCTTTTGTTAGGCCATCCTATGACGATGATTTAGCAGATTTTTTTGTAATACCTACAAGAAAAAGATAATCGTCGCTTACGAAGTTATCGAATATAGTCAAAAGACAGACGTTATTTACGTAAAATGGAATTTCAGACAATTCTATGCGCAAGCAAACACATAAACCGCTATGCTAAAAGTTTTGAGAAACCTTCTGCCCTATATTGAACAATTTCACTTTCGGGGCCAGCTATGGAAAGCGCCATCGCTGGGATGTAATATATTTCTGTCGTTTTGTAAATAAAAAAAAAGATAGTACAAAGTGTTAATTTTTTAACTAATTCTCAGTAATTAAATCGACTGAAGTAATATAATCAAACTGTTAAGCGTAACCAGTTGATGTAATGTGATCCTGTGTGTAGTATTTTTGCGACTTCATTTCAGTAGAGAGCCCTATAGGCTTGGTATAAAATTGGGAAAGAATGCTAAAACATCTATTGTTTGGTTCTACTCTGAAAACTTTGAAAGTAGTGTTAGAATAAGAGACTATTGGTAATACGGCGTTTATTTTCAGATGATCGGCGCTGTTCTGTTCGCATTATGCCTCTGGTTAAGGTTCGAACCAGGGATACAAGAGTGGTTGGATATTTTGAGCGCGGGTATCTTCTACGTCGGCATCTATATCCTGCTCATCGCTGCCGCTGTAATCATGATAGTCTCATTCTTGGGATGTCTCAGCGCATTGCAGGAGAACGCGCTGTTCCTGCTGACGGTAAGCCGATCTACGGACAAAACGTCGCGCCTATGATTATCGAAACTCGTACAAAAACAATGGCCGTGTATCCCGAACGTCGTAATTTAAAAGTAACATCTGTAGGCTTGATTTATTTCTAATTTTCCCGCTCGCGACCGTATTGTGCAATGCACAACATAACTAGCCGTTAATTATTCTTAACTAATTACGGAGTGCAGTAAATTACACAATATTGGGATGGTTATAATAAATTTGCCGCGGCTAACACTGTTATTGTATTTACCGATGTAGATAGTGTAGGCTGTACATGAAAACGCTTTCGGTTATAACTCAAGCGGAAATCAGAAACATTATCTATCTCGATCCTAATTGATTTACGAACGGCGCGCGAAAATAATAATTTCGAACGGCCGCAGATTTTGAAGGAATGCCATAGTGCCGTAAATTACACAAGCCAACAAAGCTTTTGTGATTTGGTATCGTAAAACCCAAAATCTAAGTGCAGAAGAATTTCAAAAGTTTTCTTTGGATTTTTGAACATGAACTTGGTCTTTAAATAATTTTAAGAAAAAATAATTTTTTACTATAGTGTGTTTTGTCATTTTTAGCCTTTTTGTTCTACCTTAATTTGTAAATAATTATCGTTGTTGCAGTCAGTCACGGCTCTCTTTAATTATATAAAAATTTCCTATTTTTGTCTATTTGTCAAAAACGAGTGGACTAAAATATAAAGTGTGTTACACCATTGTGATAGGAATAAGATATTCTATTAAACACATATATAACATAAAGACAGAATAATTACTATCATTGCCAAAAAAGTCTTAGCAAAAATTTGTTGCTCATTGCTCAGTGTAGCGCCCTGCGACGGAGCTATATTTAGATAAATTTTCTAACAGATACCAAAGTTGGAAAACTTGCCACTTCTTGAGAGCTTTCATCACAGCGTGAATTAGTTCGTTGTAGTTTGCCCCCACCCCTCACTATTTCCTGTCGTCGGCACGTGTTCGGGCGTAGTACGGCGTGAACAGCCATTCGATTCTAAGTTACTCATCTTTTAATCTTTTTATTTTCCCTTCGGTCGGTTTTCTCCCTCCGTTGGTCAACGTTTTGTAGGCCATGAAATTGCTACGGCACTGGCATACATTTTGCGTAAGTTAACAGAATATTAGCGGGAAATCGCCGAAAGTAAAATGTAGTTCCGGGAATTCCCGCATATGTAGTCAAAACCTGTTTATCGTGTAATTGCGTGAGTGGTAGGTAGTCGTTTCATGACCTTGGTGAGCGTTGTGTAGTTAAGTTTCTTTTTAAAATACCAAAAATTTGTAAAAATATTCCAGAAAAATTTTGTTATATGTGTGGTTCTTTTGTGGTAAATAAATTTAAATCTAAAATTACACCCCTGTTTAAAAAGCAATACTGCGCTTATTTTAAGCTGGTAATCGAGGCCAACCTTGGGCGCCACATATTGTTTGTAAAGTAGTAAAGTAAAAGTAAGACATTGGAATAATGGAACCATTCGATCTCTATCTTTCGGAATACCTATGATTTAGAGAAAGCCAATAAAAAAACTAATTTCAAACACATTCTTTATCCGAACCCCGAGTCTGCAATTAGGCCGGTGCCACATAACCCTTAATAACTTAATAAGAGACTTAATTCTACATAATCTAGCATCTAGAATCTCTAGACTTAAAATCTCATATGTCACGAGACATTCTGTGTATATGAACGAATACTACGAAAATCTGGAACTACTGCTTGAGAAAATCAAATACAAGGACTACAGTTCGATGATTTGTGGTTACGTAAAAATTGTGGAACTTCTACTAGGTCAGCGGTCAGGGTATACAAAGTAGCCCTGCATTTTGTGTGAGTGGGACATTAGAACCAGACAGGTACATTGGGTGAAAAAGAACTGCTCAAAAAGTCAAAAAGTCCCGGATCAAAAAATATTCTTCTATGAAAAATTCTCTCACCACCGTTGCATATTATATTAGGATTGCTCTACGTTTTAAATACCTATGTGAACAATTTCCCGCTCTCTCAGATGCAAAATTAAAGTAAGTCATTTTTGTAAGATCAAGACTTTGGGAAAAAAACCAATATGCAAATTTTGAAGACATTTTAGAAAACATGTTAGAGAAATTTAGGTAAATTGTTACCTTTCAGTGGGTTGTTTGAGCCTGGTTCGGATCTTTTATTTATTTATTTTTTATTTTATACGAACAATTCGTTGACTTTTCTTCTGTGGGCGCCACCGTAGTTTGCTAAGGCCCGATGATACTACAAATTAAGCTACCTCCAGAATAAAACTGCCAAACTCTAAAGGTTACTACCCGGAAGATCGTTTCAACAACTACAAGTTTATTTGCTGGGAATATGTAAACGAAAAATAGAGATTGGAAGGCGGTAGGATGACAACAAAAAGCAATAACACTAACTAGTAGGCACCAGCGCAGGGCAACCAGTGAATAAATAAATAAATACAAGAGGATCAGAATATCACAAATTATTATCACTAGTGGATACAACCATAGTTATCGCGCTACCCCAGTGTTTTGGTACTACTAAAAATAATGCTTAAATCAACCGAGATTTTCAAGAAGGATTTCTCTCTCTATTAATAAAATACAATTCATGGTGGGAGAACGTAAATGGTTGATTTTAGGTTGCAAATTACTTAACGAATTAAAAACAACAATTTCGGGGCGAGCCGTGATAAAAAGGCACATTTTTTCCATTAATTCTTAAAGTTTTTTAACCGAATCATTTAAACGCTTGGAAAGTTTTACTGCTTGAATTTACGGTTTAATTTTCCCTTAGTTGCCTCGCTCAATCTTGACAATTTGTGTGGTCGGACATTTAATGGAAATTACCGGCCATGCTTTTTATCGTCACTTTTAATTATGGCCGAAATGTAAAGGTTGTAGTTTTTAGTGGTCATTATTTTTTCCTTATTTGTTCTTGACATTTTATAAAAGATATTATTTATATCAAGTCAAACAAATCATATAATTTAGTGCATGAGAAATTAGACTAGATTTCCAAAAGATCCGAGGCACTTAAACAAATTTTTGACAGATCTGCGAATGCGATAGGAAGCGTCATCTTTGGCTTCGTCCAGAATTTGAGAAAATTGGATTTTTTTTAACTTTGATTAATTTATTACAACCAGCCGTTTTGTGCCATAATAGAATGATACATTCTTATCAGTATTTACGTATAATGAAGATGCATTTTATATTACTTTATTTTTATCATCGTCCCCATTTTTTGAAACAGGCTTTTCTGTGTTTTCAACCTAGGAATTTATAGATTTGTTTCCATTTTACTTTCCCACTGATTTGGATAATTCCTACTTACATTTTTGAATAGCATAAAAATCATAACTTTTAAGGGAAAAAAGAAAGGCAACCTAATACTATAATAAAAACAATTGAATATGCATTTTCAAAAGGATAGGGAGGGTTTATGACGAACAAGCCCGACTAAATTAATAATGACCGGAATTAAAGGGAACTGTGGATTTAGGATACACATTTTATGCAAATAAATTCAACGTAAATATACTGAAGTCTATATTCACGAAAGGGCCGGTTTAATTAATAAAAAATGACTGGCGGAATTCCGTCGGGGCATGGGACCGGGAGCGACTGAAAAAAAAAAGGAAGGTAATTTAATATTCTCCGGAAAAATTTGAAGTTGATGAAGTCGATATAATTTCTTATTCCCCCTTTCCGTTAATATTGGAAATGGAAGAACTAGACTTGTTCGTCGGCGGAAAGGCGAGCGTACATTCCGACAAAAAGCTTTTGTTAACTTGTCTCTTTTAAAAAGGTTTGATATAAGATTTCACTAATGTATTACTATTTCCGAAGGAGGTATCGTTTTACCGATTTTTTTTTTGTCGATAGAGGAGAAACGACACCCGAGGGTGTTGCGTGCGTGCAAAAGGGAAAGAAAAATACTTTGATTGATTCATTGATTCCGAAAAAATCAAAAAGACAATAAGTAAAAATTACTTTTGTTCCTTTTTGCTCCATTGCGTTGTTCTAGTTTTAAATTTTAAATATTTTGTGAGAAATTGAAACAATGTAATAATAGTATATTATGCAACAAGTGCGGTAAACGGCATTTGATTCACGAGTTTATTTGACACGAGCGGAGCGAGTGTTTAATAAACGAGTTAAAAAGTTTACCCAACGTGTTGCATACTATACTTTTTCTACGACCGTTAGTTTTTGGATACATTTTCGCAAAACAACACGAATGGGAAACGAAACTGACGTGGTAAAGTGACGCTTCCCGCACGCTGATCGGTGGGTAATTAGGTATTTTACAGACGGGAGTAGAAAAACACTTTTTTTGCTTTCGGTAAAAAATAACACGTGTAAACAAGGTGTGCTAGAACTTGCTAAAGAGTTCCAGGTAATACTAACATTTGAAATCTGACGTTTTGGCCAATAAATATGACAAATGCCGAATGTAAGTCGTTAAAGCAACACAATTTTAAAATCAAAACTTTTTTTTTTGGTTTCAAAAGGAATAATACGATTAAACTAAAAAGTGAGAAATCAGATTTCGGTTTTAGTTTGTACCTTGCACGAACCTAGAGAGTTCAGTTGAATTTTGCTCATAATTACAGTGTAAAGCTGAGACTAATTTAGCTACTAAAAAAGTGTAATAAAAATGTGTTCTTCTTCATAGACTGGATAATTTAAGGGACACCCCGCTATGAATCTAAAATGTGGTAGTTTTTTGATGGATAATGATAACTATGTGTGACCAGTAAGTTATACAAATCAGAAAAACATGATTAGAAACAAAACTCCAACAAAAGGCGAATTCTTCAAATTCGAACAAAAAAATAACAATAATGTTGTTATTGGGCAGCAAATTCAAGTGAGAGTCAATAATCGTGCTTAATTTATTTATATCATTCTGATAGATATATTATGCCACCTGTATTAATGGAATGATAATAACAAGTGCTTTCTTTTTGAGTATTTTAAGAT